GCCGACACTCTATCCACTGAGCCAAACCGGTCAGGGCAGTGGTGGGCCGTTTTGAATACAGTGGGTTTGTAGAATAACTTGGTATCTGGTACAGTGATCCCTCCAACTTTGTTCTTCTTTCCTGATTGCTGCGGCTATTTGGGGTCTTTTTTGGTTCCATATAAATTTTTGGAGTATTTGTTCTAGATCTGTAAAATATGCTGTTGGTAATTTAATAGGGATTGCACTGAATCTATGGATTGCTTTGGGTAGTATGGACATTTTAATGTTAATTCTACCAATCCACACAGTATATTCTTTGGAGGGCATTTTCTTACACAGGTTTTTGTGATCCCCCTCTATTCCATCCCATTTTCAGCCCCAACCTTTACCCCTTTCTGGTGAGCCTTTTCTGGGTTCAGAAGGGCATATTGGTTTGCTTTTTTTGTTAATAACCAACCTGAGCAGGTAAAATCCATATCAGTCTGTTCTGCTAAGTTAACGTTCACTCTCTTCATTTATTTTTCATTTTGCAAAATGTTGATGTCTCCCATTTATTATTGTCAACTAGTTTCCCTTATCACTGAGTCATGTGCTTTTTTATTATCTTTGTTAATCCTCCCCCAAACATATTTTTTTCCATTGATTTTTAGGAAGAGTGAAAGGGAGAGAGGAAGGTTGAAGAGAAACATGGATGTGAGAGACGCATCTATTAGTTGTCTCCTACACAGGCTCTGACCAGGGCCAGGGTTCAAACCTGCAATCCTGTTACATGCCCTTGGCCAGGAATTGCTCTCAACCCTTCGGTGCAAGGGCTGATGCTCTAACCACTGAGAAACACTGGCCAGGGTGTCATGTGTTTTTTTAAGGAATCCTCTTAGTGGTATTTGAACAGGGCTTTGGAGGGAGTAAAAAGCCCATGTGTTTAATGTGCTGTATTTAAGTGGCTTTGTTTTAAATGTTCCCTACTACCCTTTTCTATTTTTTAGGCCACTCAAGCATCACAATCCTGTAAGCCTTCCCCAATCACTGCAACTGGAAGGAATCTGTTCCTCCTAAAAAGTTCTATAGGCCACTCTGATCTCTGCCACCCATTCGGTAGAAAGCAGAGGTGCCCTATAGTTATTTGTATTTAACTGACTTTATTGGGTCCATGACATGACCTTCATATGCTATCCAGGCATTAGATCCTATAACTGGCAAAGCAGAAACTGAGATTGACTAAGGAAAGTAAATAACACCAAATCCTGGCCAGCCTGTTTTTCCTCTTTAAAATACTTAGTAATGTCCTTTCACACCTCTTGAGTACAGTTCACGATCCTCCTCTTCAGCTAACTCCATTCCACCCAACTGAAATGAAGGGAGGCAACCATTTTATCTGTGATTTCCAGGAGGGCCACTGTAACCAGTACCATTTGCCACAATTTAAGTGTCAATAGAGTATAGGTTAATATGAAGACAACAAGAGCTCAAAATGATGAGATAGAAGGGCATATGGTTGAGGTTAAAGGAGACAATACAGCAGTGACAAATTCCAGCTGCAGAGTCCTATAACAAAGCCTGGCCCTATCAATTCCCAGTTACAGGACCTCTCTGAACGTCAGGCTCATCTGAAAATGGGGATAAGGCTACATCATAGGGCTGATATGAGTTAACTAACACATGAAAAGTTTTTAGCAAAATGGCTATTATACAGTAAACTCTCAGTATCAGGGGAAAACCTATTTTGCAGGATTTTGTTTTTAAGATATCCATTGCTGGCTTGGGTTATATAAGCCTCTGTGGGCAACTTCCCTTCACCTAGGCACTAAATCTACTGAAGCAAAAAGAACTCTGGCTTATGAGACTCAACTCCTTAGCTTTATTTTTATTTTTTTTTCACTGCCCTAATCGGTTTGGCTCAGTGGACAGAGCATTGGCCTTTGGACTGAAGGGTCCCGGGTTCAATTCTGATCCAGGGCACATGCTGAGGTTGTGGGCTCGATCCCCAGTAGGGGGTATGCAGGAGGCAGCTGATCAATGATTCTCTCTCATCATTGATGTTTCTATCTCTCTTTCCCTCTCCCTTCCTCTCCGAAATCAATTAAAAAAAAAAAAAGTAATGAGATCTTGAGCAAATTTCCTTATCTTTAAGATGAAGAGTAGCCCAGTTCCCGATAGTAGTACTGGATCAATTGGACAAAGCATGAGGGACTGGCAGGTGGTTAATGGACTTTATACATGTTTGGCATCATCACACTCTGGCAGGAAAGTGCTCGGACTGGGAGGCTCTCTGGAAACAGGCTTAGGCACACCACTCCAGGATCACAAATAGGTCTGCAGAGACTAACTCCTCTAATACCCAGGAGCCCTGGCAATGGTCAATTAGCAAGGCACCACAGTACCACCTAGTGGCCATAACACTCCTCTTCTCCTGCTCCCCCAGGTGTTAAGGCTGTCATGTCAGAGGTTCAGAACTCTTTGGTCACCTATTTCAACAGCTGATCAGTCAGAGTTGGACAGAAACCAAACATACCCCCTCTCTCTCTTTTTTTTTTTTTTTTAAATATATTTTATTGATTGGAAGGGAGAGGGATAGAGAGTTAGAAACATCGATGAGAGAGAAATATCAATTAGCTGCCTCCTCCACACCCCCCACTGGGGATGTGCCCGCAACCAAGGTACATGCCCTTGACCGGAATCGAACCTGGGACCTTTCAGTCCGCAGGCCGACGCTCTATCCACTGAGCCAAACCGGTTATGGCGTCTCTCTCTTTTTAATATTAACAAATACATATCCAGCAAGATGGCGGCATAGGTAAACACCGGAGTTTGCTGCCTTGAACAACCACTTCAAAAATACAACTAAAAGACGGAACAGACATCA